TAGAAATGCAAATTGATGTTTGTTTGAAGCTGTTTTTGCTTTTGTGCCTTGTATGTTCTAAAGAAATGCCTGTTAATTTGATTGAAAGGTTCAGATTTTCCGCTCACTGCTGAAAAGTGCTCCTTGGTGTTGTAAATTAGACACATTGTAAGTGCCAGAAGAACATGCAAACATGAAAATCTTTTATGCAGTCACTAAAGCAGCTATGTTGCATAGGACCAATAGGCAAACAATAATCTGATTTTTTTCCTTTGTCTATTTTGTCTTCTAGATAATGTCGAAGCTCAGCATTCCAATACAACAGAAGACCTCTCATTGCTGTCTGCAGGTCCCACAAGGTAGTGTGTCAGAGATCTGCTCTGAAGTCTAACAGAGCACTACGAGCTGTGTGATTTAGAGTGCTGTCCTGTCATCAAGTTTCTCTGATTACAGCACACTGTCTTTCCTGCCAGCTCACTTTTATGGTAAAGCCAGCATGTGACTGGAGCTTGCACCTCCTTGGTGTTCTAGTATTTCCGACAGTGGGCAGTAAACTAAGAACACTTTTTTCTTTTCGAATCCACACCGGTGGGCTCAGCTCCTCACCATGTCGCGTGGCCTCTCCGCAGTTCCTTCAATCTGTCCCTGAAGACGCCTCACGTGGAGCTGCTCACAGGCAGGCAGGGGATGCAGAGGAAGGCCGTGAAGCGGAAGGCCATCAGCGTGGAGGCCTTTGAGGAAGGGGCTCGGAATTACCTGGAAAAGAAACGGGGAGCAGGTGAGGCAAGGCTCTCAAAGCTTGGGGTTTGCCGCTGGTCGCTGAGATGTGGCCCTTTGCTTTTCTCCGGTCTTAACCTCCCCCTCTCCACTTCGCCCTGTCCTGTGTTTCTGTTAGAACGAAAGACCCTGTTCTTCAAACGTGTTACTCTGAGCATGGAGTCTGTGCACCTGTTCGGCGTGTCTTAATGGAATTGCCCTACAGGAACTGCAAGGGTCTGCTCTAACAGATTTAAAATACCGCTGTGTTAAAAGACAGCCCCCCTAGAACCGCAATTCCCAATCCTTTATGATGCAGCCCAAGATGTGGGGTGGGGTTGAGAAGCCATTTTCAGACAAACAGACAGAAGCAGAATATAGGAACTGTGCTTTTAAAGATTGAGGTGAACTTTCAGATGTGGTTTTAACTTGATTGACATGGTTTTGGCATAGTTCAAGTAGGGAGCTGCGTCTTAATGCGTAGGCTGCAAAGGAACAAGTGAAGAAGAAGAAGAAGAGCCACAGCCGAAACGTGTTTCTTCTCTTTTCAGCATGGAATAAACCTTTACTTGCTCCATGGTTTTGGCATGATTGCTTCAGGTTTGATTAACAGACCTTCTAGGGCACATTAGTTCTTTTTCTGTTATTAACTCTGCATGTTTTTTTACAATGGGGAAACAAACATTTTGAAACCCCTGTGCTCCTTCCCAGCCCACTAAGTCTTTTCCACGTCTCTCCCGCAGATACTGGGAAGGGCTCTGACAGTCTGTGTAAGGCGCTGAGTGAGACGGGCGCGCTGGAGAAATTCACGCTGGGACTTAGCGCGTCGACGATGCCAGACATCACGGAAATCATGATGAATAACACAGAGCTGTACGCGCAGCCCAAGTCCTCGAGGGGCGGCCCCCCCGACTCCGCCTCCCTCCTGTCAGAGCACAGAAATGACGCCAGTCTCGCGCAAGGCCAGCAGCCAGCGGAATTGGAAAGGCATGGAGAGCAGAGTTTGGAAGAGGTCCAGGCAGGGGAAGGAGCAGAAGATGAGGAAGAGGAGGAAGCTGGAGCTGAGAAGACAGGTGTGAAGACCCCAGAGAGCAGACTGCAGGAGGAGGAGGAGGAGATGGCGCAGGAGGAAGAGGAGGAAGCTGAATCGGAGAAGACAGGTGTGAAGACCCCAAAGAGCAGACTGCATGAGGACGAGGAGATGGAGGAAGAGGAGGAAGCCGAATCAGAGAAGACAGGTGTGAAGACCCCAAAGAGCAGACTGCATGAGGACGAGGAGATGGAGGAGGAGGAGGCAGAAGCAGGAAAGACGGGTGTCAAAACCCCAGAGAGCAGACTACGTGAGGAAGAGGAGAGGGCGCAGGAGGAGGAACTGGAAGATGGAGGCGAGATCGGAGACGAACATTCAGATGCTGCGCGATCAGAGGCAGAGCAGGCAGCAGAAGGCCCTGACAGCGAGGCGGAGGGGGGACTGGGTGAGCTGGAAGGCGAGAGCGAAGGCTGGTCAGTAACGGAGGAAAGAGAGAGGGCGAAGGAGGGAGAAGACGATGAAAACGAAGCCGACATGCCAGAGGAGGTGGAGGAGGAAGTAGGTTGGGTGGGGAGTGAGAGCGTGAGTGCAAGGGAGGAGGAGGAGGAAGAGGAGGAGGAGGAGCCACAGCAGCAGACCGAACACGCTGCCCGGAGAGCCACTCGCTCGCAGGCTGGGATCAAGGAGAACGTCTCTGAATCGCTCCATGAAGCAAAGGGCTACAGGAGTGTCGCTGAGGTGCAAGAGCCTGCTGACACAGGTAAGATATGATTCCTACACTGGAATTTCACCGCTGCCTTATTGCCGTAGGAATCCTGGATTTGTTCCTAGCCCTTGGTGCTCCCATATGTACATGTTCTCCCAGTGCACAGTGTTTTTGCTGACGGCTTCTCCCAAACCTGCGTGTTATGTTAAATTGGTTATTTCAGATGATCTCTTGGGTTTATTCCTCCTTGAGGGATGCTGCTGGACTCCCTACCTTCTTCTCCTACTGTGCATAGAGTGCCTCCATTTCCGGTCTCCCTTACACCTGTAAAGTGTTAATGAAATATTGACTTTATTATGAACCCAGCCTGGGTGAACTTCACAAAAAGGGGACTTCCTATCTTTCTATTACTTAAGATTGTATGTATCTCACTCCTTTCTCTTGAGTGAGGGAGAGACCAAAGGTTGTGTTTTACAGCAGTAATCGGAGACTTACTGGACATGTCCTTTTTCAGACGGTTATTTGTTTTGTTCATTGCAGAAACCGAGAGTCCTGCAGTTCTGTCTGGCACACTTTCCAGACGCAGAGCATCCAGTCTCGGACAGAAGTCAAAGACCAGGCCAAGTGAGCCTGCTACAGGTTCAGACTCTCCTCTCGGATCTCTAGGAGGATCACCTAAGGCCTTGTCTTCTCCCCCAAGACAGCAGAGAAGGACTCTGGTGGGGGTGGATGAGTCTCGGGGTGCAGTAACGAGGAGTGAGGCTGCGGCAGACTCATCCTCTCCTCTTAGCTCTGCTGGTGGAGCTTCCTGGAGTAAGGGGCTGTCTTCTCCCCTGGCAAAGCAAAGCAGTCTAAGCCTGGATGCTGATGTCCCCAACAGTGAAGGAACAGACATGCTGAGGGACCAAGAGGCAAAACATTTGAGCAGCCACCATACAGGAGAGGCCTGGGACAAGGATGATTCTGCCTGTGCCCCAGAGCTGGAGGACTCTGGCCCTCAAAGGGCACCTTTACCAAGCACCTCAGCAGCAGGTGTCTCAAATCATTTAAGGAGGAATGAGGAAGAGCAGGACCTCAGTACACAGTGGACAGAAGTCACAGAGAACAGTATAGATGATGCTGGATCATCTCGAAGTGAAGGTAATTGTAGAGAAAACGGTGGGCAAGGCGAGTTTGTTAGCGAAGTGAGGAGGGGGATCACCTTTATTTTAATCCAAAGCAATAAAGGATGCAGAAATGAACTTCTTACTTTGGGACACTGAGAAAATAAGAACAATGCTCAGTCTGACAAAGACATGCCATACAGGAGCATTTATTGGTTACTGATCGACACGTGCATGTATTTGAGACGGTTTTGAAACGAGTGATTAATGTTAGTACATGCCAAACAATGGTGGCTGTTCACAGAGAGTACTAATGAAAGACGGGCTTTATTATGAACCAAGCCCAGCCTGGTGAGCTGAAGGGCCCTTTGCTCACATGTGTATGCAAAGGTTAAGCTCTGCTGTCAGCCCCAAGTTCCCGTGTTTCTTTTTATGAAGCATCTTTCCAAAAGTATTTTTTGATACCTATTTTTCATTAATAGTAGAAACTGAAGTATTTTTGTCAATAAAACCTAAACAAGAATTTAATTTCTGTATCTGCAGAGGGTATAAAATGTAAAATAAATTATCAATACTCCAAATGAATGGTATGGATATAACTTAATTTATAAGTAGTAATTTCATTTATATATAGAGGATATAAGTAGTGTTTTGTTCTCTTACATTATCTGAAAATCAGTTTTTAATTTTTTCATGTCTTTCATTCACAGCTGAGGAATGTGGCAATAGTGTGGTGGACTATATAGGTATACAATACTTCTAAAACAAGCTGTTGTATTTCCAAGGAGAACTTTGAAACTTCTTACAAACCAGTACAGAACAGTTGTTAAAAACATTAGCAGTTCAGATTCAGTCCTGGGCACACATTATTACAGACCTGAGTGTCGCTGTAATTGGTGTTAAAATAGGGATTGGTCAGCTGCTGAGTTGCTGCAGTTGTGTTAGAAGGTGTTGCTTAACCGTCCTCAAGGTGACCCTGGGACTACCTGCGCCTGTACCTGAGAAAATGCTTTTTCAGCACCAACATGTCTTCAGCTAGACCTGTTTTTTTTTCTGATTTTGCGTTGTCTCCTTTTTGTGCACGTAGAATTGACACTGAAAACTCCGGCTTTTCTTCGTGACAAAAAACCTGCGATAACACCAAGTGCCCTCCCAACACCGACCTTTCTCCAAGAAAAAAAACAGAGGTGAGTGACTGCTCTCCAGTCAGAATGAGAAACCGTACTTAATACTTAAATAACAGCTGTAGGACAAGAAGGCAGATGATGCATATAGAAGTTTTGAAAATCTGATCTCTGTATTCTCATTAGAATCTGACAAAGGATCAAATCATTTTACTGCTTTTTCTAGTCTTTCAATCCCGTTTTCTTTCTGAACCATTTCATCCACCACGGTATCGACATTTTGCATTGGATGGGGTCTGTGTAAGGCTCTAAGTTCTTTTACACGCCTTAGCCTTATACAGGAACACATGCTGGTGACCTTGGCTTAGTCGAGGATAAAATGTGGCTTTTAAATCCTTTGCACCAACTCTGTCTTTCCAGGAAGGTCCCTCCTCCTGCCCAGCTGAAGCCCCCGAGGAAGCCCAGAGCTGCGAAACAGAAAGAGGATCCTAGCCTGCCTAAGGCATACGTCATGTCAGTCTTCTCCCACTTCGCCAAGACCAAGGTGTCCCGCGATGTCTACCCCGTTCTCCAGGAGATGTAAGAGCGGCCATATACTGTACCTCCATTTCTTTATTGTGGTAGGATCTATAATACATTCACTGCCACCTCTGAAGTTTTAGTTATTTGATGGCTGAATATTTATGTGTATCCTGTGGATTTAAGGTATTGGGGAAAACCACTATTTATGGTTAAATATATCCCCACCTTATTTGGAACTGCTGCTTGTTTTAGTAGTCTGCTCTCTTGTAGCAACAGCTCTTCCTGATGGAACGCAGAGCGATCCAGCAGTATCGCACTGTAAGCTCCTTGGTGCCGTAGAGGAGAGTTATGTGCAGACTGGAGTAGTGTCTCGTCTCTCACTGTCATTGCTGTAAGATGTCAAGTGGAATTGCTGGATGCAGGAAAGCCGGGACGGTCCTGGCTGGCGAATCCCAGCCCTGTTCCAGCCAGTGCACTGCTGTATCTGTGCACTGCAGCCTGGGCACGCCCAGTGACAGTGGGCTGGTGTTGTGACCCCGACTCAAACGGAGCTCAACTTATGTAAGGGAAGTGAACACCTACCCTGGTCAAGCCAGTCAGGAGCCCCAAAAGCATAGTTAAAGTAAATATATTCCTGGGTAGAGAACAGAGCTCGAAGTAGGTTGGGAATTTTTCATAGATAAGATCACTTTATTGGCTATATACAATTTCTTGTATTAGGAATTTGTCTTTTACGCATACCCCAACTTGCTCTCCATGAGACGCACAGACAGGGAAAGTAGCTTGGGGTCAGAGCGCAGGGTCAGCCATTTATACGGCACCCCTGGAGAAGTTGGGGTTAAGGGCCTTGCTCAGGGGCCCAATGGAGTAGGATTCCTCAGCCAGCCGCAGAATACAAACCGGCAACCTTCCAGCCACAGGCGCAGGTCCTGAGCCACAGAGCCACCACACTGCTCCTTACACTAGTAATGTGTCTCACATGTGGTTTAGGGAAAAGACTGGATTGACTGAAAACCAGTGAGTCAATGTTTTTGTCTGCAGTTTGGATAAGTACTTTGAGCGTCTGGTGGATGACCTGGAAGCATATGCAAATCATGCCAAGAGGAAGACTATTGAAAAGCAGGATGTAGAGCTTCTTCTTAGGAGGTATGTTCACAATTCTGTACAAGTAAATACAGATATAGTCTGTTAGAGCTGTTTTCAGGTTCCTGTCCTGTATAGATGGTGGCTTCCCTGAATTACTATATTACTTACAAGGTTGCAAAAAGACCACCTTGAAGTCTGATCTCCAGTTGTTGCCTGAAAAGGGGATAATGGACCAGGAGGTGGCACGCTTCTGTTTCAGTAATGTAAAACCAGATTCTCAAATGTGACCACTAAACAAGGTTCTAAACACTGTATTGATTGTTCTGTGGGCATTGGAGATCCCTTGACATTCTTGCCAAGTGTAGAAATGCTAACCCCTAGTATCCTAGCTAAATTTCAGTTCAGGCTGACTAATTTTGGCTGCCTGAATTGCCAACTCGGTCTGACTAATGAAATAATGTTTCACTTCTGTTTTATCTGATGTGTACTGAGCTGCTAGCACAGAATGGCTACTGAGCACTACTTGGCGGGGGGGTGAAGCAAGTATCCTCTTATATGTGAGCTTCTTGGGGGGAAAATTGTCCTGAAAAGCACTTTTTAAATACAACTTATTTTAATTTAAAAAAAAATGGTGATAATTTTGCCATACATTTAGTGATAGAGAAAGAGCAACTGGTGTTTGTGAATATAACTTCTTTTGAAGTAAGTACAATCTGGAAGTGATGGACACAAGAGCCCAACTATGCATCTTAAAACCATTGTCCTCTTTGAAATATGTGAGTTAATCAAATGTTATTAAAGGGAACTGATCTATATTCAGCACAAGCCCAGTTTCTCACCCTTTTCTCTCATGCAGGCAAGGGCTTGTGCCAGACGGTGTGCCTGTGAATGTGCTAATTGAACGTTACCTTCCCATGGAGTACCGGAAGCTGCTGATCCCCGTGGCTACAAGTGGGAATAAGGTTTTTCCAAAGCAGTAAAGGTTTTCTCACCACGTCTTTCTTAATGTGTGTTTTATCACAGGGCACTAGAACATGCTCATTTCTTTCACTGTAACTCTAAACATTACAAGGCTATGCTGGTATTAAAACTGCTCATCATAAAAAGCAGCAGAAGACAAAAGTAGTAACCATTTATTTTTTGGTGTAGTGCTTCCAGATCCCCTAATTAATGCAGATTTTACTGTAACAGCTTTGAGAATTTATGCAACATTTCCTCTTATTGTGCTGTTTTTAAGTGTTTGTGAAGTTTCTCCTTTTCCTGTACAAATAAAGGTTTGTTCAAATTAAATTAATATATTCTTTAAACTGAATGTCTGCTAAATACATATTAGAGGTCTTATACAAGCAGTTTCTGCAGATAAATAAGCCTTCCTCAGCTATTAAGAAGCGCTGAGTGGTGCATCAGCACATTGAGCCCACGCGCCTGTAGTGACGATCTGCAGCTGCTGACTGATTGTTGGGGGAGGTAAGCAATGCTGCCCAGCCGAAGAGGCTGCACAGAAATGAGTGTTTTACAGAATGTAATAAAATTCTACCCAAACATTACTTGTCAGGAATCATTATAAATAATTATTACATTCATGCATTTAATTTAAACTTAACAATGCCAAACACCTTGGTGGAGTATTTTTGGCAGGTGGCTGCATCATTTAATAAGGGGTTGGAATACAGAAAAGCATTAGATGTCCAACTATTGCCAATTCTGGTGGGTATTTTACTGAATAGGAATTACCTTCTTGATAATCGGGCAAAGTATTTAATATGGGGAAAAAACATAATATAATGGATCAAGTTACGTGACACCATAAAACAAATGGCAGTGGCTCAGTCCTGTGGGGGCAGAGGACCTGCCCTCTTGACATGAGCTGCCAGGAGGCGTTGCAGAGCAGAGTCTGTGTCCACGGGGGCAGCCTGTTCTAGGCGATCGCTCCGCGTCTGGAAGGCCACGGACAGATAGCGGTCGAGTATCTGGGAATCCAGCGAGGGGTCGATGCTTTGAAACGCTGTCTTCAGGTCCGCAACCTCAACCTGTCTGTTTTAAAAACAGTATTTCTAAGGACATATTCCTAATGCAGTAAACTGCAAATGAAGGTATAGAGGAGTCGTAGTCTTATTTAAGCACTGAGGTTGGTTCTGTGACATAAATACAGCAGTCACCATAAAGGAATGTCCTCATATGTCACTGCATGAATAGATAAATATTTCTAAAAACACTTTGTGAAGGCCAGTGTAAGCCATGAAACTGACGCTTACTCTTTGCTGCCCAGCTGAGCTCTCAGTTCAGTGAGGTACTTGTGCTTCTCTGCATTCGCCTGTTTTTTCACCAGCTTTAGGAAAGGTCCAGGTTTTCCTTCTGCATCCTATAAATGAAACGACCAACAAAACTCAACAAACAAAAAATATTAAAAGGAGATGAGTAAGCTGAAACCTTTAAAAGAACAACTTTATGAAAATGTAAAATGCTTAAAGAAAGCATAGGATCATTGATCCTGAAGCTTAATTTAATGCTTATCCTGAAGATCATATAACTATTGTTATACTTAATAATTTGGGATTAGCTGGATTACTGTTGTTAGAATGGGAAGGCTTCCTGGGCTTTTCCTAAAAGCATATGAAAGTCAGTCAGCTGTCATTAAGAGAGTGGGGTACCTCAGTGAACAAAGCCTGATAGGTGAAGGTGCTCCCTAGCTGGGCCTGTGCAGCCTGTATCAGCTCCTCAATCTGTGCCTCCATCTTCAGGGGGAAGGCTCTTCGTAATGCATCACTGCCAAAAAGAACCACAGCGATCTCCAGCAACAGACCTAGTTTTTAAAATTCTTACACAATAACGAAAACTCCCGTAGAATTCAATCTCAGCAAAAACATTTGTTTGGACACATGTTTGTAAACTCATCATTCCTATTCCTGAGGGGGTATTTTTTTTACTGTGAATTATGTTCTTGCAGGGTGCTCTGTAAGCAAAAGTGAATTGCATGTTCTCCTCACCTGAACTCTTGCATGGTCAGAGTGCTGCTCTCTGCAGCGTCACTGTGGATTAGCTCCTTCAGCAGGTGAGACAGTAGGTGAATCTGTCCATGGTACACACTCTCATCCACCTGGCAAGTGGACACACAGGGTGGACCTTTACTTTTACACCTGTCAGTTGTTTCTGTGATACACAGCATCTTTTCTTTAGAATTAAAACTCAACATTGGAGTGCCCCAACTGCAGGATCTGAAGGCCCAGTGTGTGTCTGCAGGTTATTTATGTCCTTAAGAACACAGCTGGTATAAAAACCCACAGACACTACTCCAGTAGTGCGATTAGGCAAATAAGTCCTTGAGTCAAATCCTCCTCCCCTGCAAGTGCACTACTGCTCAAGACTGAACTATGAATTTCAGTGATGATTTTTTCAATGTAAATCCTTTGCAGTGCGATTTGTGTATTTGGGATTTATCTGCTCCTGCCCGTCTGCCACTGGTTATGTGCTTTAAAATACCAGGGCAGCGCTGAAGGGCCTTGGCACCGCAGATCCGAGGCGTACCTTTCCCAGGAGGATGCTGAAGAAAAGGCTGATGAAGTCGTCATCCTGGTGTCGCCTGCATCCCTCCACCAGGCTGTAAGCCCACTCCGTGGCACCGTCCACATGCCGTTTCTCGAGGAAGGAGTGGAGAAACTCCGCCAGGTTCTGCCTCTCCTCTTTCTGCAGTGGGAGCAGCAAAACGGGGTTCTTTGATTTAAGCCCAGAGGCAGCTTCCTGATACTTGATTTTACTCACAGGAGGGAAAAATGTCACCACTGCAGGTCTGATCTTTGTGGCTAGAAAAGAGTGAAAGACTTTAGAAGTGAAAATTTAGCAGACTCAGTCTTGTTACCTGCTCATCCTCAAGGACTTTGTCTTTCCAGACTTCTTTGATTGTGTTCACTATCTCCGATTTCTTGAGTTTCAAGTTCCTGATCTGTCCCTCATAGCGCAAGTACACAGGGACATCCTCTCCTGTACCCTAGACAAACACAAGAGGGCGCTGTTTACAAGCATCTCCTGGGTTTAAACATATTGTACTGCTGCAACTCTTGTACAGTAGTTGTGCCCCTCAGCTTTTGGAATTACAAAGTGGATGGTGGTTTGAAATATAAGAGGTTTGCTGAAGCCACTACAAGGTGAAACAATTTTACACTAAATCTTTTTTTCTTTGCAGAACAGAAAAATTGATGGTGGAGTCTTTACTCAGGTTTTTTGTAAGGGCAGTGAAAGGCCATTGGTGTTCCAGATCATGGTATTACCTTTGATATATACTCCAGACTTTGAGATATATGATCTTATTTTCTTTTAAATGTGCAAAAAGGGAGCACTTCATTCATTAAAGCTCAACAAATATATGACATGGTCATGAACCTTACATGTTCACATTGAGCACAATAATCCAGTGTACCTTGATGGAGACTGTCTAAAGAGGGAAGTGTCCTACAGCAGGTGGTTAAGTATATGGTTTAATTGTGGTCTAAGGCAGAAGGTACATAAATACTGTATTCAAGAGGAACAATGTTTTATCATGCAACTCTTAATGCTTTAATGAGTAAAGATAATGGATAACGTTAATTTCCAGCCTGTAGACACTGATAAAGAGTCCTATAAAACATGCAGGGAATAGCTGTCGAGGTGAAATAGAGAGATATCTGTACCAGCCCATCAAAGAAATCCTTTTCTTTGGCTGGTCCTCCTCTCAGCTCCTCCAGAAGAATGTCCACCAGCTGGTCACTGGACTGGCCCTCCGTCAGCTGTGCCCAGCGCTCACTGCCCCCTGACACCACATCTATGGAAACAGAATGAGCCTTATCGGACTTCTTAGCCAACTTGCTCATAAACTTCAATACCAGGTCAAATTAGAAATCTAATATGTGAACAGTTAATAAAATGTGTATTTTAATTTTAAATCACTTTTAGTCCAAATGACAGGGAGGATTATTTTGAATTAAATACGAGTGCAGCCTGCAATGTCAAGAATGACGCATTTTAAGCCTGCTCTTAAACAGTTGTGCACACTGTCAACTCTTTCAAACCTCACCCACAGTAAAGGGCAGCGTGGGCTGGGAGAGAGGCGCCGCTGGGTACCTGCACACTTCTCCCAGCGCGGCCGCGGCGTGGAGCTGCCTCTGAAGCGCTCCAGCTCTGCCTGCAGGCCCTCTCTCTGCTCCGCCAGCTGCCGGTGCACCTCCAGCAGCGTGTCGTACTCCTGCTTCATCTGACTGAAGTCCTTCTGCAGCATCTCCATCTGGAGGACAGGCAGGAAGAAAACACCGGCACCACATTCAGTACAAGGGCGACTGGAGGAAAAAGCTCTGTAAGGGCTTTTACCACAAGGCTCATCAAATCAGGTGTCCCTGCAGCACCTGCTATTTCTTATCTCTTAAATATAGGCATATCAGCTGTTGGTTTCACAGCGCTGCTTAAATTACACTGGTGAATGCCCCTTTTTCCATACAACCCGACTCCTCAGCAGTAACAGTTTATTCTGGGTCTGATGAGCTAAATATCTTTTCGCTGAGCCTTCTACAGACGCTTTTTTATTGTCACGAACATATAGAAACCTTGGTCCTTGTCAAAGCCTTAAAATTCACTTCGGAAAGGCAAGAAATAAGAACATAGCTGTGCAAATTCCAATGATAACTTGCTGATGCGAAAGATTAAGGCTGCGCTGTGCTTTATGTTTATCTCACCCATAGCTTCTGGTGAAAAAAAATCACAGCGGTGCTGTGACTAGAACCTCTTGTTCTCATATTAATCACACAGAGATTAAAAAAGAAAAACCCAGGAACCAGCCAGCCTGCTCATTTATCTCACGGGGGTTTCACTGAAAGCTATTATAAATATTAATAGCAGCTACGAACACGCCAGTGCAACACCTCAGCGACAATGCAATGAGGCAAAATGTGGAAAAGGCCAGATTCAACCATATCAAGAGAGGTGCTATAGTATTATAGCCCATGGGTGCCCTCTGACCTTGCCTAAGGTGTCCCTGTGCTTCCTGTCCAGGCTCTCCCAGTCCCGCCGGGGCACGACGTCCCCATACTCGGCCTGCATGCGGTTCAGCTCCACCTGCAGGCGGGTCAGGTCCTCCCGTGCCACTTTCAGCGCCAGGCGCACCCGCACGGCGTCCTCCTGCTCCTCCACTGCTCGCAGGAGCACAGCACACGGGGCTGCAGTCAAATACTGCACACGTACAGAACTGCGCAAGCAGGCTTTCACAAGCCCTTCACACCAAGGCAAACGGGATGCCCTACAAGGTACGGTTGCACTCCGTGCACAAAATATATATGTTACGGTGCGTTACAGCTCATTTCCAGATTTGTCATGTAAGAATCTAAAGTTTATTAATTCATGCTCTTCCCTGGAACTGAGTTTTAGAGAATGGGAATGCAACAGTCTTGTAAATGCACCTTCTAATGGATGATAGGGCTTTTGGAGCAAGCTGCCCCGGTGCTCTGGGGAACTGAAAGAAGCAGAGATGATGCGGGCTCCTGAACTAAGTACCTTCTTGCTCAGGGCTCTTGTGCTCTTCTTGCAGGTACCTCATGTTGCTGATGTCGTTCACCAGGAGCTTGCGGGCATCACTCTCCTCCCGATACAGCAGGTACTGAGCTGCCAGGTCCTCCTGCAGCCGGGACACCTGTACAGAAAGGGAGTGAAGCTGACTCGGAAGTGTAAGCAGGGTCGGGCATTTATCATGCCTTCAAGAAACTGACACCCAGAAGTACGTTTACAAAACTTAAGGCAGCAAAAGAAGCTTATTGCTTCTTCCACAAATTGCTAAATTGTTTAAAAGTGTTATATTCAGAAATATTGCTTGTGAAATGCGTTACAATATTGTATATTAAATAATACAGAAAAGCAGAAAGCTGGGGTAAATCATATAGGTTTGGGTGAATGAAAAAGTGCAGCTAACCTTACATTAGCTGACTAATGTAACCCATATCAATTTGGGCACTGTAATCCAAAAGGCGAGCCATATCTGCAGCTTTAGGCTGTTTTCAGATAAAGCTCATTAGTAAAGCTGTTCATGATCAAGCCCTTGTGCAGTAGGCTCATTCTCTCTTCTGTGTCCACATTGAAAAGCAATCCATAAATTTGTGATGCCTCCTTAAAAGCGGGCCTTGTTTGTGTAATCTCTAATGTGAGTCCCTCTAAATAAATGGCTGAAGCACCTCCACAGGATTCCTAGCGTTAATATTATAAATACATAAGCCAGTCCTGAAATCCCAAGGCACAGACTGACTGCCTTAGGGCTGGAACACACAAACACACTTGCGCACAGCAAGAGCAAAACCAGAAAACATTTAGAGTAGATATTACTTTGGTAAAATGTCTAAAATGAACATTTTAGATCTTCTGCATCTTACTGTGTCTATCATCTGTGTCACTTGCACAGCCTATCATACTAATTTTGATTTTTAAAAGTCTGATAGACATTTGATGCAAACAATGTTTAAACATGCAAAACTGAAATCTGAAAAGGTGATTCCATTACCTTATGTCTGGGTATGAGGCTGCTGGAAAATACAATTAAATCATTTTTTTACTTCATATATTTTATATTACTTACATAAACAGAGATGATAAATATATAGTTTTTTATTTATTCCACATAATATGTGTACCACAATATCTCCCTATCTCTGCACACCCAGAGCCTTTTTTTACCTGTGCTTGTAGTGCGTTCTTGCTCTCATTCATATTGTCGATGATCATCAGCAAATGGCTCTTCTCCTGTTTGAGGGCCTTGACCTCCGCTCTCTCCTCCTCACGCAGGGCTAGGACCCGCTGGTCACACTGCTCTGACACCACCACCAGCATCCCCTTCAGGGGCTCCAGGGTACGGATCTGCTCTCTCAGATGGGCTGGGGTTAGCACACAGCAAGATCACTCTATCTCTTCCCCAGTCATTTGTATTTCATTATTTGCTTCTCATGTTTTTTGTTGAGAAAACAACCATGCATAAGTAGAAACGAAGTGTTCCACTAGTACGTTCTGGAAATTGGCCATTACTTCATGGATCTTTTCTGTTGTTTCATACAGGTGTAGCGCCATTCTAAACTGGACTCTCACCAGTGCGTCTGTCTACTTTCCTGATTGTGTGATCTTTCATGCTGGAGTCTTCCTGGGCATGCAAAGAAATACAAGGCCATGCTTTCAGGAAACAGATTTGGTAAACAAAGAGGATCTGAAGTTCATATTTGAAATTAACACCAGAAAAAAAAAGACAAAAAATGTGATTGCACCACCACAACTAAATGCACTGCAAAAGTTCATGTAGCTGTAACAATAAAAAGGGCATTATTTATTATATCAATAACTGTTACTATATGTGCTGAAATACTGCAGCTGTTACATACCTAATGCAATCTCATATTCATTCTTGATGGCAGAAAGCAGTGGCTTGTAAGTTTTTAAATCTTCGATGAAATACTGAAACACTTCCTGGTATGCCTGTATAGTAAACAGAAACAGAACTCAACGGTAGATTCTCCTGAGCCCTGCAGGGGTGCTGCTCAGGGGGCAGGGGGCATAGTGTGAGGGCTGCTGTTGCAAGGAGCCGAGAGTCCGGGAGAGGATTTAGGGATCAGGGTTCAAGGAAAGGTGCAGATGATGTTATTTACTCAGGGGCCCCCGCGGACACTGCCAGGGCTATCTAACGTGGACAATGGGAGAGCGTTCCTGTGGGTGCCGACCTGCAGCCTGCGCTCCGGTGCGTCGAGCTGGCTGGAGTCCAGCGCCTGCAGCTCCCTCCGCAAGTAGCTCTCCAGCTGTTCCAGGAAACGTGGCTTGGAGACCAAACCCGAGAGCTCCTCGCCACATCTGCACACAGGCAGGACAGACAGAAAACAACAGAATTCTCGAGGCGATTCCCAGACCACTCCATTGGCATTTACATCTGGAATTCTGCCCAGACTTTACTGAATCCCACGGACATCCGTCCATCTGTGGGAGACGATGGAAATGCAGGGGCCATAGGGAAGTCTGAGATCTTTGGACACTTTTATTACTGTTGAATCCAGTGTCCTTAAGAAAATCAGCCACTTCTGGTGAATTGTACACTCCGTACACTATTATTAAAAACAGTTTCATTATACAGAAAAATCAGACCAAAAACCCAGAACAGTCTCACGCCCCCTTGATTGAGAGAGACTCTTAGATGAAACTGGGAAGCTGGGAGAGTCTGGAGGAAATAAAATCTGCTCACCCACGAATTCTGTTCTCACTGCCGGGTGGTTGTCTGTGTCCTTGGTGGACTATCTGTGAGGACACGTGGGCAGGCCATGTGGAGAGGAAGCCAGTGGCTCCAGCACCCTGGAGAATTAGAGAACAGGATCATTTATTACACAACTTGACAGCACACAAAAAAATCAAGGACATACAGTATACGTAAACTTACTAATCAATACTCCATTTCTAGTAATGTTAATTACTTTGTATGATACTGTTTTGGATGTTGTTTACCATTCCAATGGTATTGTTAACACTTATTCAGCAATTGTAACAATTTTGTTAATTATTTTCTAAAAAACGTACTTAATAAAGTTTAAATAAATGAACTGTAAGAATATGCATTGCATTCGTCACATTCAATATTTTCATTTCAGATTCAGAAATACATAAGTGCAACATACCAAAGCATATAGTCTATAAAATTGCATAATTAAGATTTCAATCACTTCAATTTTGCCCTTTTTCATCTGGCCTTAGAAATAGCAGCAGCAAGAGTAGTGGTACAGGAGCAGTAGTACATTAGCAACAGCAGCAGTGAGACTAGTGATTTACTAGTATAGTAGCAGTAATGTAGTAGCTGTAGATGTAGTACAAGTAGCTGTAGAATAGTAACCGCAGTAGTAAGAGCAGTAGTACTGGTTGTACAGTAGTATTAGTAGTAAAAATAGCAAGAGAGTGGCTACAGAAGCAGTAAGTGTTGTAGTATCAGTACTACTAGTGTTACTCACGTGTGCTGTCTTCAGGGTGAAAAGGCTTCCGATCTCATCGCTTTGCTGTCGGCTCTTCCTGACAGGCTTCTCGCTCCCTCCAGGACAGTTTACAGGCAATCTATAAAATAACGAGGTCGTGATCTCCCAAGACTAGCCTTTAAATAGCAGGCTTTCTTTTGGTGGTGTATTTACTCTGTCGCTGTCCCCATACATGCCGTCATTTTCTCAAGTCAGGAAAGACAGAACTCAGTTATCTGAAATGTATCTTATTGTTCATATTCAGTAAAATCATTGTGCGCTTTACTGAGATAGAGATGTACTTGTAAAGAAAAATAGAAACCACGCAATACGTTACTTGTTAGCCATTGCGGTCTGCTGCATACTGCAGGTTCATTTGGAAAATATATATATATATTAGAAACTGTATTTAACTTTAACTGTATTTTTCAAAACTGACCCTTGTCTTTCTGACACAGGCAAAGGAGGCAACTTGCAGTCTTTCTGCACCGACATGCCGAACATGAGATTAATCCCTGTATCGCCGGCTGGGATAGTCCTGACCCACTGGCGCTCTCTGTGTACACTGCGTTGCCATGGAGACGAAGGACCCCTCCCGGCAGGACCTTAAAGGGATGTCCTCAGCAAAGCAAATAAACAAATATGTGTTTCCTAATTTTTCCTGCTATAGATCCCAAAGTTTGGACATTAAAACACAGTTATTATTATTTAAAAGCTGTTTATCTCCGTACAGTCGTGGTTTTAGATTTAAATACCGTTATGTCCCTAGTACAAGATTTGGTTTACGTAATTTAAAGGGAAATTAAAGAATGTGGTCGTTTTTGAATATATATTTTTGGAAGTTGCAAACAGTTTAAAAAATCAAAGCACCACACGTCTTTAGAAACATTTGTAAAACGTAAAGCCCTCCGTCTGCACTGAATTAATACATAGCAGTAACGAGCATTTTTTTCACTTTTATCGGATCAAATATTCTAGTTACGTGTAAAAAACATCCCAATCTGTTGCTTGAAAAATGTTCAAAACACTCCAGCTCATGTGGCGTTGATCCTGGTATATGTAGTTCTTTATTAAGGAACGCAATCACTCGATAAAGAAATGCCAGCCTTTAAAAAACTACATTTCCCGAGAACCCTATGAGCTGCTACAGGGGCTTGTGGGGTTTGTAGGAAAATCTGAAGAAGGATCTCGTTCAGCCAGTTTGGAATCCGCAAGTCTGTAGAACTACATTTTTTCCTCCTCCTCACGCGTGAAGTCCACGGGTGCACTCCCGCAGGTATTTGTGGGAGTTGTAGTCATTATCGAACTTTGTGCTCGTCGATACCCGTCGTACAAGACGATCTCCCGAACTACAACTCCCTAGCACACCGCCGATAGCCCGATTCTAGAGCGTTGGTTATCCGGGGATATCGCACCGCTGTCTCTAGTCTATTTCACTCTCTCCCTCTTCCTGCGGATTGACACAATACAGTAGAAAAAAAGCAAAACAAAACATTAAAAGCCAAAAAAATGGCGGAGCTCGGAGCGGGGAGCTTGCAAGGGGGGGACCCTGCTTTCAGCTACCAGGAGCGAGAGCTCAACGAGCGACTGAAGCAGCTTTACCCGGCCGTGAATGAGGAAGAGACTCCTTTACCTCGATCTTGGAGCTCCAAGGATAAATACAGCTACATCGGGCTCTCACAGAACAATCTCCGGGTGCATTACAAAGGTAGAGACATGCCGAAATGCTAGCACTGGCCTTCTTAATCCGGGCCAGCACTCTCCCGAAGGCTCGCTGAGCCGTTGTCTACTGTATGCGATTATGCGGACGCAGTCTCCCTGGTCTGTTTTGATCTGTTTTCTGTGCCCTCTCTGTTTTGTCTCACAAAAAGAAATCCCCGAAGGGCTGACAGTTAATGATGACAGTGTCTGGGGTTCCTCGGGTTAGAAGACCCTCGCCCTGGCCGAGCTGCCCCCGATTTCGTTTTTGCTCATAACGACCAGATAAGATGCTGGGCAGCGACTCGTCTCAGCCTTGCAGCTGAACTGTGTCGGGTGCCGTTTTTATTTTATTCTTCGTGGTGCTAATGTCCTACGCTTCTGCCCACCCCTCCCACTTTTTGTTACAAATCCCCGAATTTTAATAAGGTCCAAGAAGCAAGGGGGGTGACCCGAGAAATCCCCCCCCCCTCAATCTTTCCCTGCCCTCTTAGAAAATAATTGCATTAAACGGAAAAGAATGACATCACTTGCCGTGACTGTCAGCAGTTTGCGATACTGATTATGAGCCAGTTTTAGGAAATATGGACGCAGGGTAGGTGTCAGTTACCCAGGGCAGGTAGCTGTATTCTGCTCCATTGGCACAGTGATATAGATGCCAACTCTGGGCACTTAAATGGACGAGGCACCTACCAAAGACGACACAGGAATCCGCAATGATCTGGTATTCCTTTTTGCGAGATTATTGCGGATTCCGTGAGCCGTGTGGTGAGTGACGAGGACCGAAAAAGAAAGACGAAAAAGAGATCAGCTCGTTGTTGAATTCGGGCCTTGAATTACAATGAATTAACCCTTTCCGCCCCGAGAGCGGAAACAGGATGTGTTTATTGTGAAAGAAGGGCTCGGTCTCGTCCTCCTGGTTCTAGTGGGGTCCGGGCCGTGGTTGTGTCTCTGAACCACGGCTCCCCCAGGGTTTTGAAAAAGGAGTGGCAGACCTGTTGTGTGGAGTTTTTCTGTCAAAGGGCAGGTTTAGTAAAATGAATAAGCAAATGACACGCCACCAAAGATATGCTTCTTCAGAAATCTGGCTAACATTGAGGGCTTTACCAGACATAGCTATCGGTCCTATGTGTACCCCCAGAGTTCTCTGAATCACCCCCCTTTTTTTTGAGCATGGAGTTGTGGATTTAGAATCACGGGGTTCTCTTCAGTGTGGATCCTGATGAGAGCAGCGGTGTGGGTACCATGCACAAGAATTATTAGGTTTCCATTCTAGTGAGGATTGATTTCAATGTATCGGACTGGGCTGGGGGAAATGGAGAGATCATGGTCGACTGATTGAAATTGCTTTATTTGAAATTGATTGAAATCCAAAATGAAAACACTTTGCTCAAACAGAATGATGACTGATCCAACCACGGTTGCTTCTGGTAACGTTAGGTGCCCCCTGTTGCTATGGGTTATAATTTCACAAAGC